ACTCTCTTAGATTTTCGCAAATATTCGACATTATAAATAAAACCATCTTTTCGGATTTTTTCCAAAAAAAATTATTTCTAAAATCATCAGAATATTTTTTTATCATATTTATTTATAAATTATATATTGGTTATCTGGCTGAATAAGTAGGATCATGAACAAATCATGAACGTTTTACAGTAGTATAAAAAAAACAGACAGTTTGGCGGCTGGCGCGTTTTATAAGCTCACAACAGTTGTCATTAAAAAAAGGTTAATTAAATAAGTATTAAACTTAAGTGGCCTGTCTGACTGTATGCGTGCGTAAAGTAAAACACATTAGACAGACATGTGAGGTAGCTTAATGTTTTATTTCTTATCTATACTTGTTATCCATTTATGTAAATTAATATAATTTTTTATGGATTAATGTCGAGTAGCGCCATGAATGTTAAAAAGGTATAAAATATCACACATAAAAATTGTGTATTAATATTTGTACTTCGAAAATAAGGACAAAACAACATATTGTTACAATGCTTTTGCCTTTGGGATGAACACACGAATACCTTCTACATTTTTTCAACCGTGAACCTCAAAAACTAAGATCTTTAACGATATGAGAATTAAATCGGACTTCTATTATAAATGCGAAAGTTTGTGTATGTATATATATGTATGTGTGTATTTGTCACTCATTTACAATCAAACGGCTGGACTGATTTAAATGAAATTGTGCATAATGCATATAGACTATGACCTGGAGTAACATAAGTTATTACTTGGCACTTAGGGACGCACCCGAGCAAAACTAGGATAAGTCGCTAATCTATATTTAATAATAAAAAGAGGCAGAGTTTGTTTGAACGCGCTAATCTTAGGAACTACTAATCCGATTTAAAAAAATCTTTTTGCATTAGATAGCCCTTTTATTGAGGGAGGCTAAATGCTATATATCCTATATTATATAGTATATCTATCCCATACAAACCTCGAACCCGAGCGAAGCGAGGGTGAGTCGCTAGTTTATTATAATAACAATACCTACTAATAATGTACCTACCTGTGTTTAAAATAAGCGAAAAAAAAGATGTTGCTCGCAGTGCTTGAAAGGTCGTTATAAGTAAATTATCCAATAAATTGGTTTAATATAAATTCATTTCGCAGTGACCTACTCAATCACTTGTTTTTACTCGATTTCCATAAGAACCCACAATTTACCCATCAAACCAATAAGGCATAGATAAGTGGCATTATTTATGTGCAATAGTTGATGTAATCGTGGTAATTTATAAGCTTTTCTTGAGAGAACCGGCGAAAAAGCCGTATTCCCTTAGCCAGTAATAACTGTCTGCACGAAATCGGCACCGCTTTGCGTGTACGCAATTAAAAATATACCTATGCCATAGAACAGTGAATGCGCACCAAGAGTAGCGCTAAGACCATGGGAAAATAATGTAAAATTGTAAGGATTTCATATAGGTATAAAAAATATTGATAAATTATTTTTATACATATACCACCCAAGATTCGAATCCAGATTTACAGCCAACAATCTTATTACTAAATGAAGAAAAAGTAACTATATAGGTACATATACTTACTAGCGATTTATTCTCGCTTCGCTCGTGTCGTTTCCTAGGTGCCTTTTGTATTTATCCTATTAATATAATGAATGTGAAAGTTTCAAATTTAATCCATCGAGGATGGATGTTTGTTACTCAATCACGCCAGAACTGCTAAACAGATTTGGATGAAATTCAGCACAGAGATATATTATACTTAGTCTGAAATAGAACATAGGTTACTTTTTATCTCGAAAAAGTATACGGTTCCCGTGATTTTGATGTAATTTTGTATGATGATTTTTACTCTGGGAAAACATGTCATTACTGAGAAATCTATCCTAAACGTTAAAACGTAAGTACGGACGAACGAGCGGAGCGAGGGTGATTCGCTAGTTAAGCAAATATCTACTTAATTATCCTACGTGTGTCTCACACAAGCTTGCATATTTAACATAGCAAGTTATGGTAAAGGTACTAAAATATTAACGTCAGCATAACTCTACATTACAGCTTATCGATCGATCTTTACATTATTTGATGTAGGTACGATTGCAGAACTTTACTTCTGGGAATTCAAAATTATTTTGTGTGTTCATTTGCATTGTATTTACTTATAATATACTAGGGTCTCACCCTCGCTTCGCTCGGATTCGTCCCTAGCTTGATTTCCCTTACAAACTTTCATCCCCATTTTCGCCCTCTTAAGGGATGATTTCCGGGATATAAAGTATCCTATGTCCTTCCCAGGGTCTCAAACTATCTTCTTACAAAATGTCAACTAAATCGGTTCATCAGATCCAGGAATTATCCCCTACAACGTCAAAAACTCACAAACTTTACCTCTTTATAATATTAGTATAGATGTTCATTGAACAGCCAAATAGGATGTCAGAATCTAGAATTTTTTTATTTACAATTGTTTATGAATATATAAATATGTTGCGACATTAACACACAGCACCATCTAGTTCCATGGTAACCTACGACACTTGTGCATACCAGATAGTTGATACACTATACATGTATATAACTTTAACTATATACATAATATTATGAATATAAACACCCATGACGTGTATAAACATCCCTAGCGAGACTCGAACCCGCGACCGCTGGTACATCAAGTAAGGTCACTACAAACTGAGCCAAAATGTCGTCAAATACTAGAGATGACTGAGATTAATTTCTGTAGTTAAAATAATAACTCCACCTTTAAAAGCTGCAGTGATTTAAGAGCAACACTATAAATCTACATCAATTTTATTCTAAGACTAGCGGCTCACCCTCGCTTCGCTCTGGGTCGCCTCTAGAAAAACACTAATAGAGATCTATTAGTTCCCACGGGAACCGTTCATTTTTCCGGGATGAAAAATAACCTGTTGTTTGACCAGCAATATAAGGTATCTGAATGTTAAATTTTATTAAATTAGGTGCATAAGTTGTTGTGTATAAGATACTATAGTTTTTTAACTATCCCACGGGAACTCTTTAATTTTCTGGGCTGAAAAGTATCTAAGATGTTTCCCGGGGATATAAGGTACCACCATGCAAAATTTCATTTAAATCGGTCCAATAGATCCGGATATTAGCCCGTACAAACAGACAAACAGACAGAGAAACAAAAAAATTGAAAAAATCTGGATTTGTTCCATTTGACTTCTTACATCCCCCTGACTCGGTTTTTAGCATTTTTTTGCTATGTACAGACATTCGACCTCTACTGTTTAATTATAGTATAGATATAAAAAGAGTTTGTTTTTTTGTTTGTTTCTTTGATATAATATGTATATAATAAATAAATAATAGGCTAACAACTGACTAAAGAACCTCAATAACGTTGAACTTTAATGAATTAGTTATGGTCTATTAACGACCAAGTGGTGATCACTAATATGTATGTATACATATATGTAGATACATATGTATATATGTAAACATATATTGCATGTATGCTGTCCTGTTGTAGCGTCCCACAGTTGGGCACGGGCCTCCCTTCAATACGAGGGGGATCATATTGAAAACGATTCGCACATGAAATATCAAAGGTGCGAGACCACGGGATTTGAACCCGCTTCATTGGTTACCCAAGTACTCGCGTTACCACTGAGCTACCACTGCCTTTCTTTGATCGGTATTTATATTTGGCGTCATCGGTGTCATGGGCCGGCTATCGGCGCCAGCCAGACAGCTCAAATACCCCAGATCATTATCAATCTATAGTTATAATCGTCCATATAAAACAGTGTGTGAGTGACAGACTGACAGACAATGTAAATCCTGAAATAATTAAATTGGATTTTTGAAGATGTTAAGTCAATAACAGTTTGATTTTATTTTTGACAGGAAAATACATACATACATATGCGGTCGACTTTTATATCTAAAACGCTTTTATAACATATCATTATTGGTAAATCTATAATGCTTGGGTAGCATGAGTGTAGCTGCCAGTAAAACCTATTTATATGTACAATTCTATTTTCTGGTTTTCTAAAATACAAAAAAAAAACATTTTTAATAAAACTGTATTTTCAGATTTTTCGCGAATTTATTTTCTCTCCCGTGAACATACATGATTGCAAAAAAAAATTGCAAAGCAATCGTCGAAAACCAAAAATCAAAAAAATCCGAAAAGATAGTTTTATTTAATATGTTAAATATTTGCCTATTAAGAAAGTATTATTAAAAAATATATGTGATGTACAGATAAACAAAATATCAGCTGATTCTCAGTCGAAATAAATACGTCAAAAGAATATTATAACATATCTGTTAATCAATGTACCTTTTCATCACTTTCCCGCGTTCCGTCTGTGAAACAATCTCCGATAGCATCTCAGCGTGACACGACGGATTGTTCCTCGATACTCGCCTTAATCAGGGATTGATGGATAACGTCTTATTTGGACCGACGAGCTCTGATCACGAATGCGTTTGTTTTACTTTTATATGTAACTAACGACGCATTCGTGGGTGTATGCTATTATTATACCTTTCTGTAGTAGATGTAGTAGTAAAGGGTCGAAATTATATAATTCTCTACCCCATAAACCCCCATAACTATGTAAAAAATCACAGCGATACGTAGTGCTGTTGTTTTGTGGAAATCGAGCAAACTTATAAACATATTGTCTTTTTGTAATATCAGTGACTCAAATCTATACAAAAATCCAAAACTTTTTATAACACATTAAGAAAAAAGTTCAGATGTAATGCTTTAATCATCAATGTACTTTATTTAACCTCATTAAATGAAATTATTGCATCTAAATTTACTTAAATAATATCTGTTAAAAGATTAAAATCTTCATCATTCTTTCTCCAATAAGTCTGAAAATGGCATATCTACATAAATACTAAAGTCTAAAGCTTTTTAAATATCCAGTTAGTTTAACTTTAAATCAATTTTATCACTGATCTATAAGAATGTTTAACATTCTAGTAGTAACGCTAATGGTGAGAATGTACTGGTATGCGATCGCATGCCGGCGCCGGCGCCGCCCGAAGTGCACAGTCACCGTCGCCGGGCCCACTCTCTGTGATGGCCCTTGAAAACTTAATTAGGATTTAGTTTATCAATTTGTTTGTGATGTAGACGTTTTCAAAATTAATAAGTTTTGTCTATAAGGCATTGAATTTGTTAAGGAAGTTTTTAGGACTCGATCTCATTTTTAAGTTTCGGATTTGGATGAAATTTTGTAGTCAGATATATATAGCCTGGAGTATCTACTGGCTACTGGTAGCAACCTAAGAACGCGTTCGAGCAAAGAGTTTTCTTCATATACATTTCTTTATAAGAATTAGTTTTTTGAATATTAAAATACCTGCTCGGTTATTTAAAAACCACACAAAATTCTTAAAAATATTTTCCTGAAATACCCGCCAGCTTTAAGAAATTTATAATACTTAGATCATTGTGCTGCTTTTTTTTCGAAGTGCAGAAACTTGCTAGATTCCTATTGTGAGCATGCGAGATTGAAACATGCATCCGTATAAAAAATACTCCCCGCAGTAATCGGACCAGTGATTCCGCCATTCTAAACAGTATCTACATGACCAAATAAATATGAAATCTACCTATATATAATGAAAAAAATATGAATATCGGTACATAATCAACGGAGTATCGCATAACATACACAAAAAAACATGCACCTTAACTAAGTTACCTTCCATGTTCTTTTTGAAAGTCAAAACCAATCATTGTATCTATATCATAATATTAATTATTGTATCCCATTTTTAGAAAATATTTTCTATGAATTTAGTTTTTATTACTGGAGCCTGTTATCTGTTATATTGGTCTTCAATAAGATATTTTTTTAACAGTTGGGAGAAACCTAAGCACTACAATATAGGCATCCCTGTTGTAACAGTAGGCGATACTGATTCAGATCAGTTGATTTCTCAATGCCACTTGAAAAATCAAGTGATGATCACTTCACTTGTACTTCCAACCTCAAAAACTTCACGCATGCCATTATTCAAACTTTACTCAAAAAAAGTCGAAACATAAAAACAAATATTATTTATTATATATACATAGATATCAGTATTATTATACATTAAAATTAATTGTAATATGCTATATTGTTTTACTATTTAGTATCCACATCGTAATCATGTTCTGCTTGAATCTCTTAATACAAAAATGAAAAGCCGCGGGGCATTCATCCATCATGTGGCGATTTCACAGGCTTTTTCATCGACGAACAAAACGTAGGGAGAGTGGCAAAAAACGCGGGGGGCTACAGATTTTATTATAAAATGACATTGAATTAAAGCAAAAGGCCACCTTGCGGCTCATTAACACAAATGGACTCAGTCTGAACAATAAAAATCGCATTTACACACAAAAAAGAAACTTGATTAATGATACGAGAGTACTATACGTATGTGATTCACGGCGGTGTAGTTTGCCGAATTAGCGGTGTGGGTTAAAAAGTTACAATATATTTTATTCTTTAAGTCTTTACGTGACTCTCTATAAGTTCAATATACAAAGTGTCTTGAGTACACACAATAAAAAAATATTTGTTCAATTCAATTCAAATTAGTTATTAATCACGTGTACCTGTCACTTATGTATAAATAATTATATATATATATATATATATATATATATATATATATATATATATTTATTTTGATTCATATTTTCTTCTATTATAATAAAATTGTAAATGAACAACATTAACGTCTATATGAAATTTATTTATTCCTTATTTTTTATAAAAGTGAACGATCCGTCTGTAATATCGGAAATAATAGAATAAACAGTAAAATCATGCTACTATTTTTGACTTTAACATTTTTAATGAGCTCCGTCTATATAATTCTTTAGTCTGAGGAAATACTATTCAGCTTTAACAGGAAATCATAAAGAATACCCAAATAAGTACAAGATTATTTCTAAATATACGAGTAAAAGCAAGGTATTGAAATACTTGATTTTAGTACCTAGATGATATAAAATATTATTTGTTATTTAAAGATGAAGCAATAAATACCTTAAAATAATTTTAAGTCATAAAGACGGCTACTCGTACAAGCACGGCTGCGACCACGTCATTTCCATGTATATCTTCTGCGCTCGTAAAGGTCGTAGCATGATACAAGGCAGTTTGTTGCCTTCCTGAAAAAATAAGCTATAAAATGCTAAAAAATAATTCAACTGGGAATATACATTCAAACAAACAAACTCATTCGCTTATATATTAATATAGATTGCACTTACATCGGTATATCTTAGAATACAATATCTACATGACATTCCGCATTCATTTTTTTGAACATACCTACATACACCATATATACAGACCATATGTAATTAACTGCCTCGGTGGTGTAGTGGCTAGCATGTACGGTTGCACACCGGAGGTCCTGGGTTTGAGTCCCGGGTCGGGCCAAGTTTAGTTATCGAGTCTTTCTGTATAGTAAGTCTCAGTAACAGCCCGGAGTTGGGAAGTTGGCGGTGTTTCACCCCCGTGCCTCGGAGAGCACGTAAAGCCGTCGGTCCTGCGCCTTAACTCTCACCGGTCGTGTCGAATGGTCGTCCCACCAGAGTATGAGAGTGACAGGAATAAAGAGTGCACGTTGTGTCTGCGCGTACACTTGAGCTCTATAATATCTCCTGCGCAGTTGGCTAATCTCAATGACATTGGCCGCCGTAGCCGGAATCGGCTAGGAGGTGAACATCATATAATTAGGCAAAGACAAAACAGTTCAGTGCCCTCTTCTCCTCTGTCTATCGATAGTATAGGATTAAAAAAAATGTAAGCAATTTTTTACATGGATAGGTAAATTCTATTCATAAATATGTATTAAAAATTCTTTTTTAGTATATGAGCGATCAAATATTCGCAATGGTTCTTCACAGCCGTATGTATAACATATCAGTCGCGTAGCTGTATTACGATACGAATGGTATTAAAGTCATTTGGAGTCGCTCGATAAATGTGACTACTTCCGATAAACACTGAAATTATTTTGAAAGCTATTTGAATGTCATATTACATACATTATTACACTGGCTATTCGAGAATATCTAAGCTGCTAGATATGAGCTAATATTTATCTAGGTAATGTTTTGTTTTGAGTTCTACCTACCGTATATATTTTATAACAATAAGATACCAAATAAATGTACACTTTTAACTAGTTCTAGCCCAAACCAAGTTCTAGCTCTAACCAACAAACAAACAAACAAATAAACAAACAAAAACAAAGAAACAAACAAATGAACATGACATCATCCAAATATTGACTTGACTATTGATATAAAAATCAAAAGAAAAACCTAAAGGTGTTCGAACCACACCCTACCTTCGAGACAATTGTAAGCATTATCGTAACGATTACTACAGCTTGTTTATTGAAAACACTATAATTACAAAAGAGTAATATCATAGCAGAAAAACTATATATGTATGTAGAAACATCGTTAATCCATAATTATAACAAGATTTATTACATTGGCAATAAAAAAGTAATGACTGGATTGTCAGGAAATATGGGTTCAGAAACTATTGACACCGATGACAAAGAATGTTTAGAGGCCAGTGGCGTAACTGTCTTTTAGGGGTCCAATGCAAAAAAATGGAAGTGGGGCCCCCCTTTGCCTATTTTAAAAACGAATGTGGTCCACAGACCGAGACAATTTTGGAACTTCTCACTTTTATCATACCGCTCTTACGGAAGAGCGGGTGGAGTACCTATTTAGTAAAAAACCTAAGCTTAGAGAACATAGAAAAAATAATGTGCGGAAAAGGATATTTTTTCTTGTTGTTTTTTTTAATATAATATAAGGGCTGTCGTCGAAACAATGTTTTAGTTGCATTGGCATAGCTACCCCTACTCCTTTCACTTAGTTGGTTCACGTTTAAGTCGGTTTAAGTGCTTTTTAAGGGATAAATATGTTGAATCGTAAAGATTTTTATAACGACACACGTTCTTTATGTGGTATGTTGAGAAGATATCAGATTTTAGTTCATTAGTTTTATTGCTTTCTATTTTATGCGCATATGTACATGTTGTTACATTTGTGTGTCTTTGTGTGTGTGTAAATTTTATAATATTAAATGAGTAATTCTTGTATATACATATGTATATAAACGGCTCTAACGATTTTAATCAAATTTTGTAAGATTTTGCTTTTTAAGTTTATCCATTAAAGTAGGTATCTTTAATGGATAAACTTAAAAGGGCAAAATCGCCGTGCGAAACTCGGCCCAGGACTTAAAGAGTGTTAGATTGTTTGCACCAACTTTTTCAATAAACTTTAAATTTTTATGTGTAAGCACTTACTGTGTACTGTGACGGAGGACTATATCGCGTAGCAATAACATATCTTCATGTATAAACGAAATCCAGATTCTATTTCCACATGAGCCTGAAAATTTATTTTGTTGGAAATGACCGTTGAGTCACATATTTTATTAAGTCTGTGAGACAGTGAATGCGTGTAATGTGAATCACGCTGTAATGGCTTGTCAGATTTGAGCGAAATCTATGCATATAATAAAATTGTAACTAAGCCGAATCTGTACATTGAATATTTTTTGGAAAATCTTATTGAAATAGATATTATTATCGATACAGAGGCCGAATCTATAGTTTTTAGGATTTTTGTCTGTCTGTCTGTCTATCTGTCTGTTACCGCATCACGGCAAATCCACTGGAGGGATTTTGATGAAATGCGGTTTGATGGTAGCTGGTTATCCGGATCAACATATAGGATACTTTTTACCGCGGGAAAATGTCTCATTTCTGAAAAAAAAATACAAAAACTGCAATGTTAGAGTATACTAATATGTAAAACCTAAGAATTTGGTTTTTGGTCATCTGAACGCGGGCGGAGCCGCGGGCAATGCTAGTTCATAATAAAAATAGTTTATACCCATGATTACAAATACATATTAAGTACATTTATCAATGTACGTACATACAACGCAAGCGGAGCTGCGGGCAACATTAGTGTAATATTGAAAGAAGTATCGACTTATACTTTAATAGACTTTATATTATACGTAATTACATTTTCATTCGTTTGTTATAGTTAGTTAAAAAAAACATTAAATATTTTTCGGATAATCTTATTCAAAAAGTCATTATTATCGATATAGAATCTATAGTTTTTAGAATTTCTGTCTGTCATTGACAGATTTCGATGTTTGGTATAATGCTAGCTGATTATCCTGGTCAACATACCCAAAGATATGATACTTTTTACTGCGGGAAAATATCTCATCTCTGAGAAATCTCTACTAAATGTTAAAACGTATAATATATACTTACGTAATTAATATATAAAACTTTCACATCTTTACAAAATCGCACTTTTAATAATTTCTAAATCGTCATTGGGTGGGCGCCATCACACAGTCTCAACAATATAATGACAGGTTCCGCGAGGCTTCTGTATAATGGCCTCGCTTTTTTGTAACAACCACTCTAAATATATTTCATCACTTCAACGTGGGATCTTTTCGTGGTTTTGTTTCCAATTCGAAATGCTCGACGGTGTTTGTAATATCTTGTATACTACTTGTCGTCCGCGAGTTTGTGCTAGATTTTTTTATTGAGAAAAGCTATGGCTACCTCATTTTCTTTTTGTTTTAGAAAATATCATTTCAGATTTGAGTTTCTTCCACTTATGTTAGACAAAAATTTGGATGAGTTAAAAATTTTAACAATTTGATATGAACTTAAAGGATTTTAGCTTTGTAATATAATTTGGAGTATAAAGTACCTACTCGTAATATTATACATATTATTCTATTTTAAATAGACACTTTAGCAATGTTTTTTTCTTTAAATGTATAGATAAATATTGTGATTACAACAATAGTGGTAGCCCAGTAGTAAGATGTTTACTTGGGAAATCAAGTGAAGTGGGTTCAAATCCCGAGTCTCGCTCTGATATTCTCATGTGCGAATCATTATCAACATGATTACCACTAAATACATGTGAAGTCCGCCAACCCGCACTTGGTCAGCGCGGTGGACTATGGCCTGATCCTCACGTATTGAAAGAAGTCCCGTATCCAGCAGTGGGACGTTACACAAAGGTCTCAATACCTAATACTCGTATATTAAAATGATCACATCAAACAAATTTTACTCAAATTTTAGATATAAACTAGCAGTTTTAAAATCCTACAACACACTTATAATCTTAAAAGAGATAATGTACCCAATTCATAAGTACAATACACGATGTTTTTTGTAATTTTACAATAAAACTATCATCTCTAATACCTTCGAAAGAAAATTAAAGTGTGAATAAAAAAAAATACTGTATGTACATTTTTCAAATATAATATACATATACGTAAGAATATATAACAAAATGAGGTGCGAAGAAGTCGACAACCATCAATTCAGATCTAATACAAGCGCAAATCGAATCTATAGCGGGACTCCCCCGGGACCGGAACCCCTGTTATTGTTTCACTCTACCCGCAAACTTCGTAAGAATTGAAAAAGTTCCGTCTCTCCTAAGGTGTTCAAACATTGCAGATATGTCTATTTGTATTATTTTATACTTTAAACATAGCTGACTTTTGCTATGAATATAAGTCAAAAGTATATCTATCTACTACACAAGTAGATTTTCATAAGCGATATCGCTGATAGATAATGGAATTAAAAATTATAGGAGTAACATATTCTTCAATATAGTGAATGTGGAATTTCAATATCTCGAAACTCGCAGAATTTCAGCTCACAGATGTATTCTGTCAGGTAATTCTGGGTAGCAAGCAGGAACTGGAAGTGTTGCACTACCGCGCCTCGGAGAGCACGTAAAGCCGTCGGTCCTGCGTCTGATCTCTCACCGGTCCTTTCTCTACATCGAACTATGAGAGTAAAAGGTATGTGTGTATGTATATCATATCCCCTATACACATACGAATGCACTATAATATTTCTTAAGCACATGTCTAGTCGCAGTGAAAAACTACTAAAAAACTGTATGAGATTGTATTTAATGTTGTTCATTTAATTTTTAAAAAAATATTTCATTTTAAAACCTTGGATTTACAATGATCTATAAAACGATCAAATCCTTTTTCACGACCTTTGTGGTTGGTTCATAATATTAACTAAATTGCTTTTTCGTGTATTTTGGAGGTAACACTTCATGTCGCCTTGAAACCAGCAGTTAACGCATTCCCATTATTACTTCAATATTAATAGGATATTTAAACGTCTATATGTGCTTTATACTTATTTAAATGGGAAGCAAAATTATACTGCTATAAATTATTATTCTTTTTTTAATATAAGAAAAAAAGTTTTAGTTCTCTTTTGTTTTATTGAAAGTAATACTTGTATTATTTATTAAATTTTACAAAAAATAACCATTTAAAAATTAACTTTTACTTAAAATATCATCATAACAGTAAAAAGGTCCATTCCATGTTTTTTTTAAATATATCATCTTTAAATAAACCTACTGGCACAAACACAACAAACGGGAACCAAAATCTACTTGATGTTTTATATATGCCTAGATTGTTTTAATAAACAATCTCACTAATGTGAGAGACTACAATTTATTAATAGTTCTTAATTTTTACCTTAAAAGGGTACAAATATAAGTAAAGATTTTGTACAAAACAGCTAAAATAAAAATAAAGTTTGTTAAAATTGAAAATAA